CTCCACCGAAGGCACCAGTGCCACCGTCCACATGCGTCCCCCACACCCATTCCGGCACACCTCTCACACGTTTCGTGACCCCACAGGGAGCTCCACCGAAGACCCCAGTGCCTTCGTCCACAAGCGTCCCCCACACCCATGTCGGCACACCCCTCACGCGTTTCGTGGCCCCACAGGGAGCTCCACCTAAGGCCCCAGCGCCACCGTCCACATGCGTCCCCCGCACCCATTCCAGCATACCCCTTGCGCGTTTCGTGGCCCCATAGGGAGCCCCACCGAAGGCCCCAGCGCCACCGTCCACATGCGTCCCCCACACTCATTCCGGCACACACCTCACGCGCTTCGCAGCCCCGTAGGGATCTCCACTGAGGGCCCAAGCGTGACCGTCCACATGCTTCCCCCACACGCATGTCGGCACACACCTCACACGTTTCGTGGCCACATAGAAAGCTCCACCGAAGGCCCCAGCGCCACCGTCCACATGCGTCCCCCACACCCATTTCGGCACACCCGTCACACGTTTCGTAGCCCCACAGGGAGCTCCACCGAAGGCCCCAGCGCAAATGCGTCCCCCACACCCATGTCGGAACCCCCATCCCACGTTTCGTGACCCCATAGGGACCTCCACCGAAGGCACCAGCGCCACCGTCCACATGCGTCCCCCGCACCCATCTCGGCACACCCATTACACGTTTCGTGGCCCCACAGGGAACTCCACCGAAGGCCCCCGTACCACTGTCCACACGCGTCCCCCACACCCATTTCGGCACCCCCCTTATATGTTTTGTGGCCCCATAGGGAGCTCCACCGAAGGCCTCCGTGCCACCGTCCACATGCGTCCCCCTCGTCACCCACTTCGGCACACCCGTCACACGCTTCGTTGCCCCATATGGGGGCTCCACCGAAGGCCCCAGTGCCACCGTCCACATGCGTCCCCCCCACCCACTTCGGCACACACGTCGCACGCTTCGTGACCCCACAGGGATCTCCACCGAAGGCCCCAATGCCACCGTCCACATGCGTCCACTCCACCCACTTCGGCACACACGTCCCACGTTTCGTGGCCCCATAAGGGAGCTCCACTGAAGTCCCCCCCACCCACCTCGGCACACCCCTCACACGTTTGGTATCCCCATAGGGAGCTTCACCGAAGGGCCCAGTGCCACCGTCCACACGCGTCCCCCCACCCACTTCGGCACACCCCTCCCACGCTTCGTGGCCCCATGGGGAGCTCCACCACCCGCTTCGGCACACCTCTCACACGTTTCGTGGCACCAGAGGGAGCTTCACCGAAGGCCCCAGTGCCACCGTCCACATGCGTCCCCCCACCCACTTCGGCATACCCCTCACACGCTTCGTGGCCCCACAGGGAGCTCCACCGAAGGCCCCAGTACCACCGCCCACATGCGCCCACCCCACCCACTTCGGCACACCCCTCACACGCTTCATGGCCCCATCGCGAGCGTCACCGAAGGCCCCAGTGCCACCGTCCACATGCGCCCCCGCCACCCACTTCAGCACACCCCTCACACGTTTCGTGGCCCCATATGGGGTCCCCACCGAAGGCCCCAGTGCCACCGTCCACATGCGTCCCCCCCACCCACTTCGGCACACCCGTCCCACGCTTCGTGGCCTCATAAGGGGGCTCCACGAAGGCCTCAGGGCCACCGTCCACATACGTCTCGTGGCCCCATATGGGGGGGGGCCACCGAAGGCCCAAGTGCCACCGTCCACATGTGTCCCCCCACCCACTTCGGCACACCCCTCACACGTTTCGTGGCCCCATAGGGAGCTCCACCGAAGGCCCCAGTGCCATTGCCAGCATGCCCCAGTGCCACCGTCCGTATGCGTCCCCCACACACACCCACTTTGGCACGCCCTTCCCACGCTTCGTGGCCCGATGGGTGGCCCGATGGAGAGCTTCACCGAAGATGATCTTCACAACTGCGTTATTCACAACTGCATATGGTCGGGTCCTCACAACTGCAACTGCATATGGTCGGGTCCTCACAAGTACATATGGTCGGGTCCTCACAACTGTTACTCACAAGATGATCTTCACAACTACGTTACTCACAACTGCGTCTCCGTATAACGACGATCACTGCTATTACGACCATTACTGCTACTACCAGTATTAGTACGAGTACTAGGACTACTGTTGCGACTGCTGCTACTACTACTACTACTACTACTACTACTACTACGACTACTACTACACTACTACTACTACTACTACTACTACTACTACTACTACTACTGACTACTACTACTACTACTACTACTACTACTACTACTACTACTACTACTACTACTACTACTACTACTACTACTACTACTACTACTACTACTACTACTACTACTACTACTACTACTACGACGACTACGACTACGACTACGACTACGATTACGACTACGACTACGGCTACTACTACTACTACTACTACTACTACTACTACTGCTGCTGCTGCTGCTGCTGCTACTACTACTACTACTACGACCACTACCACTACCACTGCGACTACTGCTGCTATTACGACGACGACTTCTGTGAATACTATTACGGCCACTATTACCACTGCTACTATTACTACTATTGCGACGACGGCTACTACTACTATTACTACTGCTACTACTACTACTACTAGTACTGCGACTGCGAGTTCTGCGACAACGTTTACGGTTTTTAGTTTTTTTATATATTACTACTACGACTAAAATCATTATACTACTACTACTATCACTTCTTCTTCTTACTTCTACCACTGCTTCAACTACGACTCGTACTACGACTGTTACGGCCACTACTGTGATCATTGCCATTCCATTTATTGAAACCATTGCGACTACGATGCGATACTACATTCCAGACTACTTGCGTTATTCTTAATACTGCTACTGCCAAGATAAGAAGCACAACTTTGATTATTACTGCTCGTATTACTTTTGCTTCGACTACTATTTCTACTACCACTAGTTTTGCTACTATTCTTTGTACTGCTACAACCACTGCCACTACTACTACAACGGCCACTAGTACCACTACTATCACAACTACTACTACCATTACTACTCTTACCACGAGTTCGGCTACTACTACGACGAGTCGTACTGCTAGTACGACTATTTTTATTCCTGTAACGACCACCACAGTTGCTATCACACGTACTCGTACTACTACTACTACTATCACTACTACTACTACTACTACTGCTACTACTACTACTACTACTACTTCTACTACTACTACTACTACTACTACTACTACTACTACTACTTTTACTACTACCACTTCTACTGCTACGACTACTATCACTACCCTCACGGTTGCTACCACCACCACTACCCCTACCACTGCTAGTGAGGACGCGACCAGTATGATTAGTTTTACTCGTACTAATTCTCTTACGATTACTGTTGCTACTACTATTACAACGACTAGTACCTCAACGGTTACTACTGCCCGTATTGCTGCTATTATTACTACGACTCTTGTTCCTACTAGCGCCATTAGTACCATACGACTGCTAGTAGTTCTACCAGTACTACCCGTACTACTATTACTACTACTACTACTTCTACTACTACTACTACTACTACTACTACTACTACTACTACTACTACTACTACTACTACTAGTACTACTACTACTGCGACTATTTTTGCGACTACTTCTTTACTATCTCGATTGCATTCTTATTGCTTGACTCCCAGTGCACTCCTCTCTTTTCTTTCGGCTACTACTTCTACTAGTAGGACTAACTACTCGACAAACTTACTGACTACTGGAACTAGCATTAGTTTGTTACTTGACTGAAGTACTGCTACTTTACTCTCTAAAACCTACTGGGACTCTGGACTTCTCCTGCGTCGGTGTCTTCCTCTTTGGTTTACTCGATCTTACTTACCACCTTATGTTTATTGCAACACTACTTTTCACTACTAACCAGTAACTGCCCAACTCTACTTCCACTACCACTGCTGACTTTGATACTTCAACTGGGTTCTACTCTACTATGCGCTACTCTAGCCTTCTCTGCTCTACGCTGGTCTACCTACTACTCTACTCCTACGACTAACTACGACTACTTAACTACTACTACTACACTACGACTACTAACTACTACTACTAACCACCACCACTACTATTACTACTACTACTACTACTACTACTACTAGTACTACTACTACTACTACTACTACTACTACTACTACCACTACTACTACTACTAGTACTGCTACTACTACTACTACGACTACTACTACTACTACTACTACTACTACTACTACTACTACTACGACTACGACTACGACTACGACGACGATGACTACTACTACTTCTACTATACTACTACCACTACCATTACTACTACTACTACTACTACTACTACTACTACTACTACTACTACTACTACGACTACTACTACTACTACTACTACTACTACTACTACTACGACTACTACTACTACTACTACTACTACGACAACGACGACGACGACGACGACGACGACGACGACGACGACGACGACGACGACGACGACGACGACGACGACGACGACTACTACTACTACTACTACTACTCCTCCTACGACTACTACGACCACTACTACTATCACTACTACTACGATTTCTATTTTGACTACTACTACTACTACTACTACTACTACTACTACTACTACTATTTCTACTTATTATGTTGTTGTTGCGATTGCTGGAACTACTTATGCTGCTGGTACTCTAGCACCACGAGATACCCGTACTGCTGTTACTACCACCGCATTTGGTTGTTGCTTCATGCCGCTTTGCGCACCATGCCTGAAGTCGGAATGTCTGCTTTTCAAGCCCTCCCTCTATTCGTCTTATCCCGCTCCTTCCCCACGTCCCACTACGCCTCGACGGAGCGAGAAAAGGTTGCTGGTGCAATCGTTTGGCATCCGCATCACTTCCGCGGGCGGCACTGGGAGCGACTCCGTGTCGCGACGCCTCCTTTGCCCGCAGAGGTGAAGAAGCAGGCCTATAGCGACACCGAGACCCAGGCGACGCCCCCAGCGATCGCCACGATCGACACGGGTACGATAAGAAATGTGCACGACGACCGGCAGCATGTCCTATGCATTTTGAGCAGATTTCGCCGTCGGCGTCGCCGCGGAAGTGGTTCATTTGAGACAGAAGGCCGCCTGCCCAACAGCGGCCGCCAGAGGTTGTGGGCAACATTTGTTGTTGGGTATCGTACCCATGTTCTCGTACCCATCTTTTGGTCGTGCCAAGCCGACTCTCCCTCCTCTTGTTGCCCATGTTGTCATGTCTCAGTTGTTCTCGCGCGGGCTGACCCTTGGCCTCCTTGTCTGGCTGCCGCGCTGCCCCGCGGTTCCTTGCCCAGGCCGCCCCACATTCCTGCCCTCTCCCGCGACCTCCCTGTTTCGAGGGTCTGCAGCCCGATTTGGGGGGTATGGCGAGTGAGTCCATACGGAAGTCGCTATTCTTTTGACGCAGGGCTTGTCCATCGCGTTTCTTTCCCCTTTCCCCCCCGCTCTGGTGGGGCTGGCGAGTGAATCCACACGGAAGTCGACATTTTTTTGTTATGCAGGGGTTGTCCATCGCGTTTCTTCCTCTGCCCCCCCCCTCCCCCCTCGGGCCATGCACGCACACACAGACACACACACACACACACACACACACACACACACACACACACACACACACCCTCCCCGACCGCTCGTCCTCGCCTTGCTCCGCCCCCCCCGCCGCTGGGGCGCAGTCCTGGGCGCGCGACATCGGGAAAAGCGCGCGCGTGCCCCGACGGGGGCGCCGTGACCCCTTCCCGGGGTCCTGAACAGATTGCCCGCGTGTGTGACGGACAGGAAAGACACCGAGCAAGAAAAATCGCCAATTCCCATCGGTCGTTGAAAGTTGGTATTTCTGGATTCCCAGGTTCCAGTCTACTTGAAGCGCCTTCCTACTTCAATGATCGAGTGGCTTCGCCTTTTCTGTCATCCTCGTGGGGCGGACGGAACCCAATCCATGTCCAAAGCCTTCCTACTTCATGTTTCTACCTACTTCTTCTGACCGATGGGTATTTTTGTTGCGCTCCGTGCGGATTTCTTGGATCCGCGCCGGGCCCCCCGGGCGGCGCTCTGGCGCCGCCACTGGCGCGCTCCGCGCAACAGGGAGGGGGGTCCAGCGCAGATCCAAGAAGCCCGCGCGGAGCGCCAACAGTTCGTGTATATGGCTTTTTTATCTTCTTGAAGACAAGCGGGGTCGACCAGCTACATGTTTATATTAACGACTCCGCAGCGGCTACCTGGTAGACAATGCTTGCCAAGACTGGTGAAATTGCAGACTGCACCTCCCAGCCTCCAGCACCGAGCGCATTCCATTATTCGCAGAGTGCCGGTTCGCAAACGTCAGAGAAAATACACAGTTGCGTCGATGTGATGGATCGTGCATCCCCCGCGGTGGATCCAGGCCATTTGCGAGAAGTTGCTCTGCGAATAGTGGAACGTGCTTGTCTAGTGGGCCAGGGGGGCGATTTGGACCGGAGCTTTGGCAACATATTATGGGAGCCTGGCTTGCCTTCGTAACTCCGCATCTAGATGGCGCCCGCTAGCGTCGGGCCATCGATGAGAAAGCGCCGATGGAGCGTCGATTTTGCGTAGCTTGTGCCTCGGTTAGCGTCGACTTGCTTGGGCAGGCGTCGCTTCGCAAGAGCCAGCACGATGCTATGGGAGACCCCCATGAGGGGCCATCGAAGGTGTCGGGTCGGGACCCCGTGGAGCGGCCAGCGGCGGATGACGACGACGAGGTGGTCCCCGGGCATTCATCGGTGGCGGCCGGGAGAGGGGAGGATGCCAGGGTTGCGCTGTGCATGGCGGCCCCCGCTCCGAGGAGTACCCGAGCGGCTTCGACCCCTGGAGGGGAAGATGGGGGGCAGCGGACGTCAGTTTTGCCACTGACGGCCAGAGCGCTGAGAGGAAGAGAGAGAGAGAGAGAGTATGGGTGTGGGCAAAGATGGGCGATAGAGACGGAGAGAGAGAGAGATAGAGAGAGCGAGACATTCGGATATAGAGAGAGGGATGAACAGAAGCAGAGGTAGTGATAGTCGACACAGGGACGAATGCAAACATGGAGGTGCACTAGCGCAGCTCCGCGACCTTGGCGCTCTGCAGGCAGCGGGGTTCGGGCGTGACTGACGAGCGCTTCTCCTCTCTTCTTTCGAAGAGAGGAGGAGCAACACGACTCACCATCAGCAGACCGCCTCGAGCGAGAGGGTCCGCGGCGCCCCCACTCCCCGAGCTGGAGGTTGAAATGTTTCGAGCGAGAGGCCGCAACGCAGGCCACATCACCAGGCATACCACCACATAGCTTCACGCGATGGTGGTGGTACCGCCTGGCTAGTAACACTAGGGTCGGATGTCGTTCCTGTAAGTTGCTAATCCCGATTTCGTAGGGTAGGGCGTAGTACATTGTAACTTCAGGTTCGAGTGGGCAGGAGGCGGAGGC